AGCGCCAAAATGATAAGAACCAAGGAAACCACAACCACTGAGCGATAGACACAAACTTGTAAGGCCGAAAAAGAAATTAAATTAGACACTGAATAATAACTAATACGTTTGAAAACAGGCAAAAATAAAATTAAAAAGTACTTTTGAGAGGGAGCCGACAAATTTGTGGTCGATTCATGTACATGTCAACTTCTCGGAGTTTTCGTTCCTGCTGTTTTTCAAAGGAGGACTTTTCTTTCGGAACGAGATTCAACACGCTGACGATCTGAAACCATTCACATTTTATGTAATAAAAACTTTGTCTGCAATCCGGCAAATGAGGAAATGACTAAAATCAGGATTTTTTTTATTATGCACAAGAAAACTGAGAACAGTCTCTTTGACGAACCAACTACATTTTGAGAAAAAAGTCCATCATAAGCAAGGAGTGCATTCTTTTGGACAGCGAACGCGAGGATAATGCCTACTTGACCCCGCAATCCATCGGAGTGAGCAATCCAAACATGAAAAATTTGTCTTCATACGTATTAAAAAGTGCCCTTGAGCGACTTTGAAAAGGTGGTATTAGGCGAGTCGAAAGCAGAACAATTCTACTTGTGACAGTACTTTCTCTAAACGGTATGTGCTTGAATCGCTTTAACACAACCAAAGCTTACATTGTGAGAGCTGACTCCCTGTGAAAATTTTTGATTACATGGTACAACATGAACTATGAAAAGCTGTGATATAAGTGTACGCACCCGTCGTATAGAGCTCTTCCAGCTTGTAGTCGAATCTTCACGTACGCTACGTTGTGTGGGAGATACAGAATGACGAGTGGGAGATGAAGATCTAAAAGTTAGTAATGAACATAGTAGAAAACGCAGAACGGCAGTATACGCAGAAATTCAGCCTGAATAGCTGTTGTATTGAATGTAGCATCTTGCTAGACGTTGTCACTTACCTCGTTACTCACATAAGACCAGCAAGAACTGTCTTGTCCCAGATTTACTTCGAATTCTTTAGATTACTATAATAGGAAAAACATACCCACTACTGATCGATGCTGTCTCGAGTGATTGTGGTCTCAAGTCGTTGGCGCTTTCCCCGCTCTGCAACTTATCAGAGACTCTGAGCCTGGTCATACCGAATTTAACTGTGATTATCATTCACATTGCAAAAACTGTATATCATTCTCAAAGGAAAAGTAGTAAACGACAAATACAACCCACTGTCTTATTAGAAGAAGCTTTGCGACGAAATGGACTTGGATTTTTGGTGGAACTTCGGCGTGACGATGAGGATTTCCTGTAACAAAATACAACCATAACACAAGGTTCTCAGCCGAACCATGATCGAAACATATGCAAGACAAGCATTACCCTTGAAATAGAGGATGTACAGAAATCCAACGAACATGTAACGGAATACTAGACCAACTCGTATCGAAGATATAACACAATTATAGCATTGTACCAGCTATAGAAGCATGCCCTTACTTAGGACTTGCTAGCGCCCAAAGGGAGAAGTGGAAACACCCCTGCATTCAAAAAAGCGGACCGGGACATTTCCATTGTATACGCGATTATGATATATTTGAATAACTAGCGATCATTTGTGTTAAAATAAAATTCCATACACCAGAACATACCAAAATAAGAAACTCTTGAATAAGTGTTCTTTAAGACTTTTTTCAAGCAGAAAGAACAAGTTCAAATGGACTAAAAATATATGAAAACTCGATGACTGGGAAGGAATAGATCCTGAAACTCACACATCCTGCTCCTCTTTTGGTGGTGATGATGTTTTATCACTCGTCTCTACGCTAATCGTTCTAATTGTTTGCTAAATGAAACGATCACTAATGACAATGACGCAATTAGTAAAAGCAAAACAACCACAACGAATATAAGAAGTAAAAAATCGCCACAGACGGTACTATACTGACATGTGGAAATCATAAACCACAAATTACCGTTTTTGCTGACATCGAATCACTACAAGATGAACTTAATATTCAAAGCTTAAGTAATGTAAGCTGAAGCCGCTCAAAAATTTCGATACGCCTTCGCATAGTTACTGTAATGGAGGTATAGTTGTGCAGCTTTACGCATTTTTGCGTCCACATTCCTTTGCAGTTAACGACGACCCCCTAGTCGGAACAGATGGTGGCCCCCTTTCATAGGAATCATATCCTCTAGTATGGGAAGGTGGGGGGGGGGACGGGCATTTATCGCTACGCTAGTGTGCTAGTGTAGAGCACCCATTCACTCTACTGATCCTCTTTTTCTAAGGCTGAGATGGAGACTATATTCCCATTTGTTAGGAAAAAATAATAAGTGGTAACGAGATCGTGGTGCGTGTTGGCGGAGGTGGTGTAGCTGCAAGTGGCGAACTATCACACGCTCACGGGTTCGCATCCTGGATCGATATCGGCCTAAACCAAGCAAGCCTTCCATCGCTCCGCGATCGGCTAATTGGTACCAGGCTTGTCTAGGAGGATAAAAACACTGACTTGTATATCGGCTCACCGCAAGTCATAGTATAGGCCACTTGCGCATTCAATACGCCACTACGATTCCGAATGGAGGTGGAATGCGTGGGCGCATCCCTCAGACGGGATTGATCAACGCCTCAAGGCTTTATCCTTATCCTTTATAATATGAAGACGAGAAATCATTCAAGAAATACACCTACTATGACTGAACGATGAGCAGAGCTTCAAAAAGAGGAGACTTAGGAAAGGGTCGCTTCATTCCGATATAATTTGTTATGAAAATTACCCGATGACTGACGTCCGAAAGCCTACACGGAAGGTTGAATACCTTACAACGGTTAGAGGATGAAAAAGCCTGCAATCATATGTGCGTCATCGAATACTGAATACCGGTTGTCTGTAAGTGTCAACCTACCAACTTTTGTTACAATTCTGTAGTGACCGTTCGACTCCTCGGCTTTCCAACACCTCGAAAATTCCGTTTTATAGAAAAGTTCAATTGTTTATGATCCCCTGATTTGCTAAGGGTCAGCAGAGAAGGAACCAGAATTTCTTACAGTCTGGCTGAGGCCGAGCATTCCGAGAACTGAAATACTAGTTTCTATCTATTCAAGCATGTAATTATAAGTGCAAAAGGTTCTTTTTGGGCATCAATGATTCACCTCTTGCAATACGCCCTGTACTCGAACTCGTTTTAGAATCATAATGGCGTCTTGGATGCTTAGATGACCTAATACAATCTCATGCGGTGGTTAACCGATGACTAATTCAGTGTTTAGCCTCCCAGACGAGCCCGATGACAACTAACAAACCCTAGGGGGACGGAAAGCTTGGTTGGTAAAGGCAAATACCGGTCAGGGATGCGGTCCCTTGAACATATGTGTAGGATAGCGCACCACTTGCTATTACACCACCTTCGCAGATAAGTCTTAATATAAATAACAAATAGACCATATCCACTGTCAAAGAAGAAACTGGCGGCTTCGGCATTTGCCACTATCACGACTAAATTCAAGTCAGTAGGATCCTAAAGAGCCTCTCATTTTTCCCGAATCAATGAGTTCATCCTGTTCCGGCCCGGGACTGTTGAGGACCGTTGTTTAATTTTTTTTTGTGATCTGCTCTCTGTTCGGGGCAGACATCATTGGAGAGAAATGTATAGCGCTATAATGCCTAAATAATTCAAAATCAGAGGCAGTTCCTAGCGATCTATTTATTTTCCTGAGTCTAAAAATGATTTTGTTTACTCTTGCATCCTATTACAAGCCTGTTAACGCAGTAGTATTTTGTGGTAAGGTTTGCAGATGAACAAACAAACGTCGCTGTGGATAATATCGAACGAAAGTAACGAGCCCCATTGCCCATAGTCCCACGGGCTAATGCTACCTCTCCTAACCTATTTTTTGAATCAACTTAATTGCCATTTATGTAGTTCAACTTTCAGTTTCCAGCTGGCTCGTACAATGACTCCATTGCTTCCCAGCTTTCATAGAATTTTCCTAACACTGCTATTTCAGCTAAAGTCACGAAAATGGATAAGATCATTTTTCTCGATTTATCTATCTTTTACAGAGGTCTATCAGCAATAATTGAGACGAAAAATAGAACAAAGAACTCACCTTACTTCATGTTACGTTCAGCGATTGAACTGATCTTTATCTATATACATCTATATATGTCAACATAGATGTGTATCCACATAAAGGTAGTATAGTATATTTATATTGATCTAATGGTTCATTCGAATAGTTAGATTTACCTGTGTTTGTAGTGCTTCTGACAAACTCTGCTGTTTAAGTTTTATTCACCCGAAATTCGACCTCCAATCGTCTGAGTTATCTTTCTTTTTTTCAAGAGGAAATCATCACTTTTCATTTTTTTCTTCAACCTCACTTTTTTACATTTTTTCTTCATAATTACTCTTTTATTACGACTTATTTGCGCATGGTCTCTTTTATTGCCAAGAATAAGAATAAAGCCTTTGATGGTTGCATCTTTTGAACCGACCTGGGCGTGCTTGGAAAAACCCCNATCAATCAGGCTATTGGAGCGAGATTCAGATGAGGAAATAGGCCATTTTGGAAAGATATGAGCATTTTACTCGAGAAGAGAAAGCGGTGGACTGTCGGTATCTGACCATGTTTTCTAGACCGTAGGCCAAGGTAGAAAAGCTCATCACGAACCCTGTCTTCTGAGAGCCCAATCATCGGTACCCGAAGAGATCTCAGAAGGGCTGAACATTTGCCGACCTCCTCATGAAGGGTTCGAATACTAAGCCTTACGAATTGAAAACTTTGTTGACTTTCATTTTCGAACTCTAGTTCATAAAATAAACTTTATGTTTGTGATGAATATGAAATTTTCTGTAGAATCGTTTACAAACTGCATTAAAAGTCTTCAAAAAACCTCTTTCTTGATCAGCACGTTAATTACACATGAGGGTACTGTACAACGTATGCTCCTCGACTTCGTTATAACAATTTTTTTGGATACTTCGTTGCCAAAGGTGAAAGCGCACTGCAGCCCATCTGCGCTCTCGTTAACTGGGTGGTCTGAAGACCAAGGAAAACACATTTGTAGGGTTCTGAATTAATTTTTTTGCATGGAGGGTTAGATTCTCTACCCAGTTCAGAGGTTACGCGACTAGTCTTCACCTTCGGGACTTTTATTGATTGTGGTTACTTGTTGAATACAAGGCGCGAACTACCATTTATGATTATGATGGACTTCGTCCGTGATATTCCATCTCATGCTGGAAATCGAAAAGCCCCCATAGATCCCTTGAGCTTCTCAGCAATCACAAATGAATCCTTTCAGAGTCACCGACAGGAGACAGCACACTATTTTTACTCGATTAAGTTTCAAATCATCGGATACCATCAAATGGTAGGGTTTCTTGACAGATACTGAAAATCGCAAAGTGAAATCCCAGCCGAATTGGTAATGTGTTTTCAGATATGCGAGAACTCCCGCTCTATGTTGTTACGTTTAGGATTGTTCCTCCTAGTTATGGTTTTAGTATGCATATCTATTGACAGTGAATTTGTTGGACGACTGCAGGGAGGCTTTGTAAGTTGAATACTAACTGATCGTTATTATTGAAACGCCTATCGCTATCATCTTCGACTGTCCGTTGTAGATGCCTTCATTTGCAAGTAACAAGGCTGGACTGGTAGAGGATGCGAATCGGCTTGTATGGAAAAGATTCGGTGAAAATATCGATTTTTTGGACGAGGTAATCATAGTTGAGTAAAAAAGAAAAAAGAAAATTTTTCCGTCCATGTTTTTCGATGGAGCCTGAAAATGGAAGGATAAAATCAATTCTAGAGATTTATCATTATCCAAAAATAGAAGTTGTTTCTTGTACCACTCCAAACCTCTGCTAGTGTGAGTAGTACCTATAAGTAAATACTTATAGCGACTACTGGTCATCAATTATACTATCGTGCCGGCACCATCATCGTATTCTTACAAGCATTTCGTAGTCGTTGTGCCATCAAGAACTAATGATTCAACAAGAAGAACACGACTGCGAAACACTTACGGTCGTTTCGGAAATGAGGTTTGTCGAGCTTCTAGGAACTTCTCGAGGAACCTTCAATTCATTAGTAATAGGACGTCGTTTCAGTTCAATTTTCGGATTTTATTCGTTCTGGGCATGTCGGGAACAGAGAGTGGTGAACAGTCGATTGAACAAGAAGCGAAGGATCATGGAGACATTCTGCAGGCGAAGTTCGTGGACAGCTACAGGAACCTCACAATTAAGGTAAAGCTCAGAATTTGTTCGTATACATTCGCTGTTCTTGAATGCTACCCGAAAGTGATGCAACAGAGGCAGTGATAGAACAGAGTCATTCTGGTTCCTGAGAACGTCATCCCCTGTTCTGCTATATTACTTAGTAAAGCATGGAAAATTTAGGGCCATATTACAAAATATTCTTCTGGTAAAGGCACAGTTCGCGATGAAACTGACTTCAAGTGTCTCTCACCGGTATGAGTCCATGGACCTTAAGACGACTACACCATTTGTCAGGAGGGGAAGAGGTCTGATGGGGGCGCAATAGAAGCACCAATGCAGTCACGACCTCTATTGCTGCTGCTGAATCTCCCCAAAGAAGGACGTGTTCAGCGGCCTTGTAAAGACTGTTACAATTCAAAATGGAGCACGTTTGTCGTAAATGCAGCCGGCCGATTTGCGCAACTAGGGCCACTCGTTGTTTTGCAACGATCGAAACCTTATCAAAACACTTCTCTCATCATCACAATCCCGTCCACCATTAGGAATGCTTTATTCATAATAGGCCTAAGATTTCGCCATTTTCGATTCTAATTTTCTCGTTTTTTTNGACCGTAGGCCAAGGTAGAAAAGCTCATCACGAACCCTTCTTCTGAGTGCCCAATCATCGGTACCCGAAGAGATCTCAGAAGGGCT